CGTGCTTCTGAACGCGCCTGAGAGTCTGGACAGAGTAGCCGCAAATCGCGAGGAGCGTCGGCCGCCCGCCGTTGGTTAAAAAATAAAAAATAAATAAACACGAGAACGCATTTTGAGGGTGGAAATAAAGCAATGCTCAGAAGAGCTGTGCGTCTTGAAGTTTTTGTTTCTGAGGAGAAAACGTCTTGGTCCTTGCTGCTTCTGCTACCGGAGATCGAAGCTGTTTTGGTGTTTTCTGTAGTTGTAACTGTTAATAGAATCCCCCCTTCCCTTCCTTGTGCTAGACTTTAATTTCGGTCAGATTATAAAATACTCTGAGTTATTTTAATCGCAGATTAGACGCGCCACAGTATGTCAACTAGTACAGGTTCTAAAATATCCATCGGCCTTTGTATCGCTTCATTATCCCATCAGTTATACAATAAATCAAGGCGTTTGAGGTGATTTGCACACAACCCTACAAAATGAAAGACAAAAAACCCAAAAATCGAACTAAACACTGGAAAAAAAAAACCAAGGACAAAGAAAGGTATAGGAAACACTAGGCGGTGTTGCCTATACCTCTCTTTGTCCTTTTTTACGTTCATTTTGAGATGTAGAAACCAACTACCCCAACTCACCGTCTTGCCACCAAACAGACTCATTAACTGGTCACTTTTGCTGACGTACAAATTGGGTATCTTCTAGTGATCAATTTTCTTTGATGAACCAGTTCCGGTCCCCAAGAAAAGGTTGGGACGAACGTGGGCATTTGATAAAGAAAAACGTAAGACCAGAAATCCGGGGAATTTATAGTTGCTGCGCTCATTTCGTTTGAGTTCTCGAGACAAACTTTATAAATTATGAAGACGACCGTTACGTAACAACCTGATAATGGAAAGTTACAGAGCTTTCCGGTACCTATTTTTTCTGCTTTTTGAGATCCCGCATGAACGAAACACCGTAAAAATAATTTATCAGTTTTGCCCAGGAACAAAAAAAGAATTATTTCGATCCGGTTCAACTTCGGTTTGCGCGAAAATAGTTTTTGCTGTTGCATTTTTGGTTCATTATTTAGGTTACTGTGTTTTTCGCCACGCACCTTTCACGTGACCTGACTTCGCGTATGAACTGAAAACCGCATGGAAAATATAGCGGTTCCGCTCTGGAGCGAAACAAATTATTTCGTTCCGGTTCAACTCCGGTTCGGCGAAAATAACGGTTTTTTCCGGTTTTCGGTTAACGGTTCGGGTTCGGTTCAATACCCTGCTTTTTTCACCTATTGCGTCCAGGCTGATTACATTTTTTGTGATATATTTTTATTACGTTACTAGAGCCCCGCACAATAACTCCCGAGTGTGCGATGCAAAATTAAAATGAGATACCCAGAAACCCGTTGCAGGTGCCCTGAAGTCGCTGACGCAAATTTTGAGGAATGTATTTGGAAATGTATTTGGAGGAGACCAAATACATTTGGTTGTATTTGTATCTTGTATTTAAATGCTTTTTTGGAAATGTAATTAGATTTGTAATTAAATACAGTTTTGACGAAGTATTTTGTATTTGTATTTCGATACATATTTGCATGTATTTTGCCCATCCCTGGTCTTGGGTATGCCTGTCCCACTTGCATGACGACACCTAATGCAGCTTCTGCAGCCTCCGAAGCCTCCGCAAGCTTCCGCAATCCTCCGCAAGTCGACGACTAATGCAGCTTCGGCAGCTCCCGAAAGCCGGTATCAGATGAAATATTTTGTAACTGCTTAGAATTTCCACGTCTTGACTGCGACATGCATCTCTACCGCTTCACCTGGCAGCTGTGTCATTGCAGGAAGCGATACCTTCGACGGTTTTGTTGGTGATAGTTGGGAAACATTTGCTCAACTACGCACTCTGTCATCGAAGGCACAAGTAGCAAGAGTCAAAAAGTGAGATTCAGGGTATTACGTGCAAAATAAACGAAGTTCATTTGGAATTTTTCAGAGATGAACTTGGGATTCATTTCGGTCCCATGAAGTCGCAAGAAGTTTGCCCGCTGAAGTAGATGGTAGGGACTCTTCATGGTTGCGAGTAGGTCTTCCAGCCGCAGAAATAAATAGCTGAGAGTTCTATCGTGTTTTAGGCAGTGAACAAGATACCCGCTGTTCCTCAACTGTAATGCAGTTTGGATGGATGGCCTTTATTTATTGTCAAAGTAAAAAGTAGCTCCACTCGCCAATAGAAAAGTATCCGTGATCATTCCTCCTATGAATTTGCCAGTTTTCGGCTGTGACATTATGTTGTATTGTGGAACATCGAGCAGACTGCATATGTTCCTTGTCATACTGTCCGTACATTCATATTCAATATTCCCCCTACTTTTTTTCATTCAGCAGCACCCAAGGTCCTCACTTCTTTTTGAAAAATGTTCCACAAGCCAGGGTTCATCATAATTAAACGAAATGCACCGACTTGACATAGCACAAATAACAATTTAATCAGGCGTTTCGTCTCCCAAATAGGAGACATCATCAGTGAGACCAAGAGGCATGTCAATATTATGTTCAGGATATGACGAAGCTGATCCGAGCCTATAAGGCTGGACAGGACATAGGACTGTACCTGGTCGATTTCTAGAGGGCCTGGGAAAAAATTAGCTTTGCCCAAGACACATGGCCTACGAGGTTACTGAGCGTGCTGTCTTGCTAAGCAGCCGGGGGGATTGCTACACTCTGCTTGCTCAAGAGAAAACATTTTGAAATTTGACCAAGTGGTTGGAGTTCGCATACGAGGTCTGGTGCTACTTAGTCAAGTGGATGAAGGGGGCTGACTAGTTAGGGCATGGGGAGATGGTGCGTGAAACAGTCGTGCTAGAAAGTGTTTATAAGGTGCTGCCCGAGTCCATGCATGTGTGGATACAGGACAAGACAAGGGTAGACGCCGTCCACAAAGCGACCAAGCTCGCGGGCTGGTACATTTTCCGCAGCTAATTGAAAAGGGGCCGGCAAAGCCGCCAGAAAAGAGGGACCCGGCAGAGTGGCGCAAATTTACAAGCGGCAAGAGTCTCTCCAGCAGACTGGCGAGTATGAGCCGTCATAAAAGGTCGAAGAGGGTGCAAAGCGCAAAGGACGCCAGGATCAGAGAAAGATAAAGGTCTTTGAGGCAAAGAGGCCGATCAAGTGTTTTAATTGCCACGACACTGAGCACATCATTGCAGGGCCTCGAAAAGACAAAGTGGGCATTGCAAGTGCGAGTCAGTGTGATGAAACCGAGGAGCTTCTGCGTCCGTATCTGAATACTTTGACGGTGAATGGCAAATCGTGCCGGGTGTTGCGTGGCAGGGGGGCGACTATTGATATGGTTCACCCAGAGTACGTAACAGAGGCCCAGTACAGTGGGAAGAGTAGTTAGATAAGGTCTGTCATGGAGGAGGGGAGCGTGTGCCTTCCCGTGTCAGATGTTCGGACCTCCAGAACGTTCAGAGAAGTGCGCACTGAGCTGGCGGTTTCAGGCAGATTGCCTCCACATTATTCTAACATATTTTCTGACCGAACGAAGAAAATCTTGAGCGAGTAGTGCTGAAGCATTGGGAGGGGCTTTTTCAGGCGCTGACACGGTCAAAGGCCCGTGAGCTTTCCCCCCAGCTGGCGTATGACCAACCAAACATGTGCCGTCAGCAGATGGGCTGCTGGTGGAAGCAAAGGGAGATGGTTCCGGAGGTCAGCCCGACGAGGCAAACACCTCTGTCAGTGGGGAGACGTGCCTAATGACAGCGAAAGGGGTCGATCAGAAAGAAGTATCCACGCAAGGTGAGGCACTGCTGCCCTCGTCTTCCATAATTCTCCAGAAACCAGTTGCCGTAACAAGTAAAAAGCTCATCAGTGAGCAAATTGGTGACTTAAGTCTTCACAGGAACTGAGAGACTCCCAGGGAGGGCGAGGCCAAGGAAAACGTTAGCAATCCATCGGCACTATAGAGACAGGCGCGGTTGAACATTTCACGAGCTCGTGGTGCCCGAGAGATATCGGACGGACGTGCTGCTGCTTTCTCATGAAGCGGGGCACATAGGCCACTTGGGCAACAAGAAGACAAGAGAACGGCTCCTGTCCGAGATCTACTGGCCCGTGTGCTTACGGGATGCCGAGAATCAGGTACGAGCATGCGATGGGTGACAAAGGGTGGGGACAGCGAACGGAAGTTTAAGGTGCCTCTGAAGTTAGCCCCTTTGATCTGAGAACCCTTTGAGCACCTAGTGATAGATGTTGTCAAGCCTCTCCCTATCACGAAGTCAGGGTGCCGGTACGTGCTTACTATGCTTTGCGTGGCAACTAAGTTCCCTGAGGCGGTTCCCCTGAAAGAATTGAGTTCAACCGACATTGTAAAGGCGCTCTGGGATATATTTGCGCTAGTAGGGTTTTACAGAAAATCCAGTGCGATCAGGCAACCTTGTTCACTAGTGCTCTGACCACGGAATTTATCGCAAGGTGCGGTATTTACAGCCTCTTGGCCTCTCTGAAGGTGTCTCCCATATGAAAAACAAAAATTCCGATTAGATTGTTATTTATGTTATGTCAAGTCGGTATAGTTTGTTTAATCCTCACTTATTTTTCCCGAGCCAGCACGACAGTTGCAGTGTTGAGGTAGACATAGAAATTAAACATAGAATCAAATGGGACAAGAAAGCGGACAAGGAAGGTCAACCGACAACTCCGGACGGTGTTGTCGGTTGACCACGGAGCGTCCTTGTGCGCCATGTATGACAGTGCGAGCTACCACATGGCGCAGCGTCAGAGCGAAGCCAAGTTGCAAAAGGGCGAAAGAAACTGCCATTTACTTTCTGGATCCTGATTTTTCATTCGGATGTTAATATCACCTTGTGAAACCAAAACTGCTCTTCTGATCAGTATTACTCATAGGCTACAGCGTGATCTTCGACTAAATTGTTTAAAAAGGCAGGGCACCACAGAATGCGATGACGGTTCTCGGTTACATGTCAAAACCCTCGAGACGCGATGAGTTTTCAAGGGCTGAAAGGCACTCACCTTCTCTCGCGTCAAGAGGTCCTTTCTCCGGAGCAGATAGACGGCCTGGTCGACGCTCAAGACGCCCACCTGGGTGCCCGGAGTACCCGTGATTACCAGGGTTTGGGAAGATCCTGGTTCGGCCAGTTGGCTGTACGACTTGGCCAGCGTCATGTTGAACTGGAAGGATTGGGGTATCCATGTTCCAAAAGCACACTCACGTTTATCTGCTTCGGGGATCACGCAGTAAGCCAATGACTGCCGTCCGCATGGGATCCTCAGCGAGTCTTTTAGGAGAAAAAAAGTTCGACCTATAAATGCATTTTGCGACGTGAACGGAGCATGACGTTTCGCGTCCTGACATCACGCGCAGCGTCATCTGGCAGAAAACATTTAGGAGGAGAACATTTCTTCGACTTTGAGACCTCGCCGGGCATCTCCTCTATACATCGTCATAATTTACTCAGCAAGGATCAACGCGAAAACCACTATCACAGTTTTTTTTTCTTCTTTTTGATAGTACGATACTGAAGATCATTGCCCTGACTAAAATGTGTTCATCCCCTTACCATCACACCAAAATAAAAATTAAACAAAATTGTTTTTAAAAAATTTGTTACTCGAGTGTACCTCAAACTTATTGAAATCATGCAGGGTACTTTTACATTTTTCCTCTAACAATTTGTTTTTAAAGAAAGCCGTGAACGTCACGCTATTGCTGTTTGTGTGGTTCAGTCGCACACCCATCATGTAGGGGGCTGATAATCGCTATACGTAAAAAGTAAAATAAATAGTAGGAGAATAGTAAGCTGGGCGAGTTGGTAAACGTTGAACATGGCTAAAAATGTAAAATAAATAGTTTTATTGAACTACTTAATCAGTTAGAATAAACGTATGACTTCGATTTGAATAATAAGCGTCACCAAAAACGCCAAATTATTCAATCGTAAAAACAATTAGTGCGCGCGCTTTGTTTTTCTGGGTCCCAAAAATCCGTCGAACTTCGAAGCAACAGCGAGGCTTTTTAGTCTCTTATCATTCGAGTTGTTGCACCGTCACCCTTTCGCCTATAACACAAGCGGCAACTTCAGCGTGTCGCCTCACCTCGTGCGCGCTTCAAGTAGACCTAAAATTTGCCGATTAGTAGTTATCAAAGGACGCCCAGCAAGTTTCTAAATAGAACCATATATTGGTTTCCAATAACTATATATTTAATTCGAAAATTTTAGTATATAGTCATACTTATCCGGACAATAAGTCACTCGTACCTTATCATACTTATTATGCTATATTATTTTATATTTTCACTGTCAACCCTATTGGATCCACTTGGCTGTAAACTCATCTGCACAAAACGCATTAGTGTAGCTTTCACGACTGTTGTAAATTATGAAACCTAAAAAACACCCTGTATGGCATTAGGGCTGAGCATGACCTGCTTAAAGGTCTGTCTAGATCAATAGCTGAAATCAACGTTTCTATGGGTCACTGAAAGAGTGTGAACGGCAGGGCGTGCTTTCTCAAACGCCCAGCCTCCAGCGCACGTTTTCGTGCCGCCGTGCTCTATCTGCGCACGCGCACTCGAGGTGCACGAGATGCAGAAGTGTCGTCGAATGTAGCAGGCTCGCGCTGGAGGCAGTGAAGTTCTCTTATTTCCTCGTTGCCGACTGTAAGCGTATCCTTCCAAGGCGGGGAGAACATTGCGTTCTGCAGTGACACAAGACACTGTTCCTGTTCGTGGCTTTAAACGAAGCTATCATAAACTCTTCGAAAGAATAACCTTTAGTGAAGGTCAAGTTGTGGCGTGCGAGCGGGATTGATTGCGCCAATGTGCTAGCATAAACTTTAGTGAGAGGTTAATCTTTCTAGACTGCATAGTTGGCGTGATTCGTATAAAACCCCGAAAATGTCCGGTGTGTACATCGGAACCATCGAACGATAGCCGGCGCAACATGTGTCCCCACCCCGGCGTCCAAATAAGTTTAATTACCGGAGGGCAGTCGAATATCGATTAGTGGTTTCGAACGTGAGCATAAAGGACCCTGCTGTCGCCGTGCACGCTAATGACTTCCATAAAGCCGCCACGGAAATGACTCCTCCCAGTAAAACTTTGTAAAGAATTGATTTCAGCCGAACAGCAGCAGATAATGAGATATTCCCTCGACAACTTTTAAACTTCAACAAAAGAGCGTGTATAATTACACAAAGTGTTTGTGGCTACCTCAGGAATGTATACTGTTTGTTACTTTGTCCGACACGCGTTTTTCCTTTCTGTTCTAAGAAAAACCTTTGCCGCGCATCTAACCGTACTTAAAGCATAATAAAGAACTGTCATTGTCTTTGAGAATACCATGCCGTCGACCTCATAGGAGGCGTCTCAAATACAATTTTATTATTTACATAAAAAACCTTTTTATTCTTCAGAAAAAGGCGGAATGTCCCGCCATCTTGACCATGCACTCCCCCCCCCCCCCCCCCGCCTCCACCGCCTCCCCCACATCGCGTTTTAAAATATATAGTCTATGAACAACTTACAGCGCGCAACATGTTTCCTAAAACTGAATGGAGCTGAAGGTTTCGTTCAAGGGATTAGAAATCATGAGTCGTTATCATACCAGAACTGGGCTGTCACGAAAATAGTAATATCAGGTCGTTAAAAAGGACAGTTTGGGACGCGGTAGGACAGTCAGGTGCTGACGCTAAATTCGTGCATAGTTTTATAAAATAGTGGTGAACCGGTAATAATAATATTAATAATACTACCAAAAACAATGTTGAAAAGGAGACAAGGGAAAAAAGCGATGAAAAAAAAAATGAGACGTTTACGACTCCCTGTTATGCCGAATAGACTACTTCCATAAAGTCCTGCATGCAACACGGCGCGCGTTGCACTCTGGGAACTAGTTGGCCAGGGAGGAGGGTGGCGTGGTTTCAGTTTCGATCGACACGTCGACAAGAGATTATACACAGAGCTTGGACTATTAACGGCCGTTATCTCGCGTTTCCTGGTCCCAAGAGCGTCGTTTTTTTGTCTCTAAACTAACCTAAATGGCCAGACCTCGAAGCTTTAGCACAAGCCTGAGACGTATAGCTTGTCTTAACACATGCTTGCTGTATTTTTGTACTTGAGCCTTCCTGTTAGCGTTCCAACCGAGGTATGTGAACGAGCCAGTGCTGGGAATCTCGACGCTGCGAAGCTCGGGGATCTTGCTTGTGTACGAATCAACAAGCTGTAGCAACATGCATACATCGAGCTTGCACCTTTACATTAGTGTTGTTGATCAGGCAGTTTGTTTGTTTCGTGCGTTCATAGACGAAATATTACTTTTTGCAATTACTGTTTTCCTTAATATGCCTGAGTATGCGATGTAAAACTAGGAGGCGCCACTGAAAAGCTCAATTTTAACACACTTCTTATCTCTTATCTGTACTGACCCGCAGCACTGCACAAAGTGAAGTCCCCACCCGCTTGCGTTCCACTAATATTCAACATCGCGTATGCGCATGAAGTTATCGTGCAATCATATAGGCGAATTCGCACATACAGATCGTTTTAAGAAAGCAAAAGTCGAGCACTTGTGTGAAGAATGTTGCACCTTTCGCCGAAAGTGCGCCGGACGGGTGCGCCAAACGAACGAATTCAAAGCGCGTTTGACGGCTGCTAATGGCCATAATATTTGTTATGTGTTTGCTTTCTTGCTACCTGAGTATGCCGAGATAATTTCAGACACCGTTCAGGCACAGATCTTGGGCGTCAGTAAAAGCTCGTCCAAAAAGCCTTAGCGAGGAGTAGGGGACGCTTGTTAGGGCCTCCGTCGTAGCTAGCTGGTCTCGGCGTTTGCGAAAAGTTAATTTTCTATCAGCATAAAATTTCAGTGGGAGATATGCGATGACACGAGGAAGACATCATATTAATTTCTGTGCCGTAGGGAGGACGAATTTATTACGTTTACTTAAAAGTTCAAGCGTAAACGCTGGGTTCAACTTTGACACCCTGTGAGGATGCGGCTTGCTTTTCGCCCAATGAAGTAACAAGAAGCGGACGTTTGGCAAACAAAATACGTGTAAGGCTCCAGATGAACAAATTTCTGTTTTAGTTCACTGGTTCTAGACGGGATTATTGAAATTGAGCTCAAACACGCACTCGTGGGGTGAGGTGACTAAGCCACGATACGTTTGCATACGCACGCAAAATATCCGGTGTTTCGGGAACCAATGAAAGTGCCCCGGTCTTTGTTTGAATCGCTCGAGAATGAGCGTATTGTATGTTCGTGAAAAGTCAGATAATCGAAAATGCAAGCAGCGCGTTCGGTCACGGCGTGATAGCACGAGATGAAGCTGCTCAGTCGAAACCAAAACTGAGTGGCCAACTAGTTCCCAGAGTGCACTGCGTGGTATTTCGCCGCGATGGGGCGCGTCGGTTTTGGAAGAAGTCCATTAGACCGCAGCTCTTGAGGAAAAGGAGGGAAGGGGATGGGAGGGGACGGTATGCCCCTCCTCCTTGCCCGTACCCTCTCCTCCTTTCTCATCTACTCCTCTCGTGTCCCTCGCCTCATTCCCCTGTTCCTCCTCCTCTCCTCCTCCTCCCTCCTCCTAACTCATCCTCCTTCCTCCTCCTTCTCCCCATCCCCCTACATCCTCCTCCTCCGTCCTCCTCCCTTTCCTCGCCTCATCCTCCTCCCCCTCCCTTCCCGTCGTCCTCGTCCTTCCCCTCCCTTCCTCTTCCTCCTCCTCCCTCCTCCACTTCCCCGCCCGGTGCATCATGGGAAATG